CGTTCTGTTCAATAACTGACCATTTTTAAGAAGTGCGATACAACAAAACAATAAAGGACCTCGTTCCGCGCTCACCGTCGCCGACATACTGCAACAAACAAGTAAACAATACACGAGGCTGTTATCAATTATGTGAAGGCCGCGCTGCGATGACATTGTCATTATGCCTCAGTTTGTAGTGCTACAAACAAGTTTCATAAAAATGTACTTTCTTTTTAGCGAATTTCCCATATAGGGAATAAGCTTACCGTAGTAATCATGGTAAGAACTGGACCCGGGACCGATTTACCCCCAGACCGGGGGGTCGTTTTGAGGTCCCCAGAGGGCAAAAACACAATCCGTTCAAATCCAATTATACAGCATATTTATATACTGTATATATACCTGTATATATTATGTCCGTTAGCACGATAACTCGAGCAAAAATGATCAGATTTTGATGAAATTTGGTATAAACGTGTAAACATTTATTCGAACGAGTTCACAAACCAGCAAGATCGGACTATGAGAACGGGTGTTTACGGTTTTTTTTGTGGGGTAGAAATAGGGTTTCCCATTTATGACCCAAAAAACTCAAAGTTTCACACTTTCTTTCCAAACCATTTGTAGAGCTTAAAAAACAAATAATTTAGTATGTTGAAGCGTTGTCACGCACCAAATAGTTACAGAAAATCTCCAAAAAATTGTAAATTTAAAATTCCCATGCTATTCTCATGGAGAATAAGTCAAATGTTATAGTTTGGAAAATACGTTCATTTCTTACTAAACCATCGACATTTTACAACAAAAAACTTTATCAAGTTAACGAAACTTGGCGTAAAAATAGTAAATTAAAAAATAATTATTTATTAAAATGCAACGATGAACACTAAGTCAAATTCTCTCAAAACACTTCCTTTCTTAGATGTAAAACATGCGTCAATGTTTTTTGTTTTAACACCAGGTCCCAGGTATCTTGAGACTGATTTTCGAAGTTTAAATCCACCTTTCTTATCAACTCTCTTATTGCAAACATATCAAACGCAAGCAATCAAAGGTTTTGAGTAAAACTAATACAATTTGGGTTCTAGGCTACACACTATGACAAACTGTATCCAAGCTATCTTTTACAGTCTCGTAGGTAAACATACGTTTGGGTTTGTATAACAGCATTTTAGTTCAACTTGATTCCTCACCTCAATGTAAATCTGTCATATGTGCAGGACTCACGGATAAATCCTCAAAGTCAATTACAACTTATTTGTTACTCCATTACAACTGTGATTTGACCCATCCAACATCTACTTCTCGTGGCCCTTGTAAAATACATTCTTGGTGAAACGAGAAATAAGAACTCGTTAGCTGTTGGTTTGTTAAAATTGTGCTCATTTTACAACGTTTTGGAGCTATAAATGAGGGAATTCATGTGTTCCAGTCAAGCTGATGACAGAGTGGTGACGTCACTTGTGTCTCTGCCAGGTTGGACAATTTGCGCACGTGCCTCAGCTATTAAAATTAGGTGCTCCTCTGACTCATGTTCCGAGAACACGCTCAACACAGTTAACAGCACGACGTATTGTACTGTAGACGCTATACAGAGTTAAAGGTAGGTCATGGATATTCCACGTTAACGACCATCGGTGACAAGCTTACGAGGATATAATAAATACTAATGTTTTTATACAATATACCCACCGATTAAAAGGGTGTTTTCAGGGCTTTTGGTGTATAATGGTTACATTTTCCGAGTCATTGAAGGATTCAAATGTTCATTGCTTAAATATTTTTCATGTGTCAGTGTTCTTCTGGCAAAGCCCAGTTTCCATCACAAAATCCGTGTTGCCGTTTGAAACGCGAACATTTGCCTTCAGCTTTTATTAAATGAAGGTTATTTGGCTCATGTGCGGCCAAAATGTAAAATGTTAAAACGTTTCTTATAGACGCAACCATGTCCAAACAACTTTTTAACATAACCGTAATTTACAGGTAAATATTTCAATTTTAAAATACACGAGCTATGAAACTCATTAAACACCTTCAGACCTTCCTTTGTTTACCCACGGAGTTGGTATTGAAGTTTAATTATGTTTAGTGAATAATTATAAAAAAATCTGAGTTAACTCCACTGAAGTCAATGCGCAGGGACACAAGGATATTCAATATATCCTGTATAAATACCCCGAGCAAAGCTCGGTCCCCAGGTACTTATTTCTTTAATCTGGCAAACTCAAAACACTGTACATACCTAGTCATGTGTATCAATATTACGAAACAGTTGATGATTCAGAAATCAAATTTTTGATCAAGAATTATGATTTAAATGTTGACGCCACTTGCCACTTTGAGTTCGTGAGTGATAGTGAAGATGTTCCGGTGGAGTAAAAATAAACAAGTGATGAAGAGATGGTTTCATTGGCTCTTCTGACGGACTACTTGGTCCTGAACTCGGGCCAAACCTGACTGACGATTTCTGGGGTCAATGGTAAGGTATGGAAACAAAGTCCTGCAACAAGCACACTGACTATGTCTATAGGTAAGTTCAGAGAAACAACCGTAAGTTTGTCTAACACTGAACATGTTGGACATAATACATCCTCTTAGGTTTCACTGTTAAATTTTGATATTCGGGATTTGGGTTTGGGACCATATGTATAATAAACTAAGTATCTCATTTAAATGATAATTTCGTGAACAATTTTTAAAAGATTTATCATACGGGGAAGTATCCCTAAATTTGATGGTACATTAAAAGACAACCAAACATATTACAACCGAACTTTATATTGGGATTAAATCCACCTATAATCCATCGAACTGTTGTTGTGCAACTCAAAAGTTCTCGGCCTGAATTTTACCCCCTGGTTTGTGAAGTCAGTTTTGCCCAGGGGGTAAAATTCCAGGGGGATAAAAATCCGCTACCACTTAATTGTATACTAACTGGGGTTTCAAAAGCTATTACACTGCCTTTGATTATTTAAGGAAAAATTATTTGGAACTTTTAAAGTAAGTCAGATTTTCCATAAGCGTTCATTCTCTTTTCAAATCTAAGTTTATGTTGATAGATCTGATAAATAACATTGAATGAGACAATATAAATACAGCCCATTCATTGCTATTTAACTTGTTTATTTATAAACGCATTGTAATTAGACAGTGTTATAAATAGCTAACCACGACCGTGCCTATCAGTCATTGTCGGAACAATGAGTTTGCAGTGTAAAGTTGGATTGTTTGTTGTGTCGATTCACTGTTCGCACACAGTGGCCAAGACCACGACCAATGCATCACCTGTTGCGTCCCAGCTTATTTTGAGATCAACACAAACTCATTACTCATGCCTATACTCTCGGCTTAGAGATTGGGTTGATCAAGAGAGAGAGTGATTCAGTGATTTCTAGTTGCCAAATTCTGAGCTTAAAATACAAATGAGTTAGATCATAACCTTCTTAAACCATCACAGATAAATCTGCCATTATTGCGCTGTGGGGATAATGCATTTCTTCAAATAAGGCCATCACATTCATAGTGAAAAATTCCAGTTGCGTTTAGAATATGGTGATGAAGAATGTAATTCGATTCTTCCAGTTGAGTATGGCTGAAGTACTGGATGACTTGCACACCTTGTCTTGGGTTTAATTGATATTGTCAGAAGAAGCAATTGGTATTAAATTATCCTACTTATCATACTTCCTATACATCCTAAATATCATTAATGATAATTTGCTTGTAATCTGCATAAAGTTATAAAAAAACATTAAAACGGAATGATTGTGTTTGTTCGATGAACCTAAAAACGTAGATAGACCTGCTTCAACCGTTGTAGTCAAATTGTATACACTGTACATCACTCCATCCGTGAAGACACATGAAGACGCCGCAAAAATACACCCGCCACCGCAAACCTGTAGACTAAGCAAAATTCCATTTGTCTGATTTGTTAAATCTCAATAGATATGTATGTCATTAAAAATGTCGGCAAACACGTGGTGCACAACACTTCAATGTACTAAACTATTTGTTATTTAAACTCTATGTTACACAATAAGTGTTACAATAAAATTGCTAAGTTTTATTTTTGTCTGGGAAAAATGGGAAACCGCCATTTTTACCCAATAAAAATTGTGAACCACAGTCATTTACACCGTCCCCATAGACTGATCATGGTGGTTTGAGAATTCGTTTGAATAGACGTAGGTTTACATGCTTTGTAAACAATTTCATAAAAATCTGATGATATTTACAGTAGTACTCAAGCTATCGTGCTAACGAACACGCATATGAATTTGAACTGATGATATTTTTGTCCTCTGACGGACTCAAAAGGAAAAAGTAAATCGGTCACGGGGCTAGGTTTTACCACGAGACCTACGGCACTATAGTTCGGCCGCTTTTTAGATAGCGACCTGTGCGCTAATGCTAACCAATGCTAGAGGAGGTCGCTATCTAAGCGGCCGAACTATAGCCCTATGGGTAAGTCGTCAAAATAAAGACACGCGCCACGTTATTCGTGTTTATACTTTAAGTTTTAGCATTCTTTTGTGTTGAACCCACACCACACTTAAATTCTAATAATTGTACCTTTTAGCATGTGTATAGTGATCTAATTTTGATAACCTTTTGCTAAATGGTTGATGCAGCATAATATCCACATTAAAATTCATACACAAGATTAAAATTGAGGCAAACCTCAAAGAAAATAGGCCTACAACATTATAAGATAGTTGAAAATATTTATGTTAGTACATTTATGTTTAGGCTTTTTCCAATGTTATAGGAGGTAGAAATGTAGACTTTTTCCGTTGTTATAGGGCCTAGAAGGTATTTGTTTACACTTTTTGCACAACACATTTTTGTACAATTTATTTCTACAGTATATAATTTTTGTTTTGTTGTTTTCTAGATAGTAATAATTGCTGTATTATTTTTAAGTAAAAAAATAATACAATGTAATTATGAATATATAAATAATGGGAAATAAAATGTTATTTCATTTCGTTTAAAAAAACGAAGGTTCAACTTACCCGATAGCGCCGTTGGCCAGTACCTGAGACTGGGCTGCTAGGGTCTCTTGTAGAGTCTGAGGAGAGTAGAGGCGGATGGGCGAGTTGTACTGCTGCGGTCGCATCGTAGCCATCTCCTGGGAACAACGATTATTTATTTGTAGTTCAAATTAAGACGATAAAAAAACAAGCAAATCGTATTATTAGATTCACCAAGTTTTAGACCCAGGCCAATTTACAGGAAGATCGACGCTGCATGCCTTCATCCTTTCTCAACAATACGTCTCGTTTGAACAATGGGCAGCATACAACTTGCATTTAATAGAATCAGTTTATTTATTGTAGATTTGCAGCACAGCTATGCCAACATCATTTACAGGATTCTACGTTAAATCTTCCAGGGTCATGGTATTATATGATAGTTAGAAGTTATTGATTAGCGGGGTTTGAACCCAGGACCTGCACTCGACCACTAGTCTAGCACGCTCCCACCATCGTAAATTTATTTTTTGGAAAATAAATACATAGTTAATAACATGCTATGTTATGCATAACTGTTATTTGAATGGTTCGAGCATTTTTGAAATTCATGGTTTCTAAAATTCGCTTGCACAAAAACAAACATCAACCAGACAATATATGACGAACGGATTTAAAATGTCGGTCCTTATTACGGTACATTCGAACACGTATCTAACCATTATTTTAATCAACCCGTTTTAGACGTTTTTATATGTATTTTGTTATGTTAGCAACTTTATATTTTTACTATGTTTGTATGCAGTTTACATAATGTTCTGTTATGTTGGGATGCTTTCATAGAAAACATTTAGTTTCCCAGATAATGATCGCGATTTCAAATGTTTAACAAGTTGATAACTTGATTAGTTGTTGTCCGATTTTGTTGAAATTTCGTTTAAAGGTGTAAGGCAAAGTTAACTCCAATGAGTTCGCGAACCAGCATGATCGGACCATGGGAACAGGATATTCTGTGGGGTTTTATGGGGTAAAAATTAGTTTTTTCTCATTTTTGACCCTCGTCGAAACAAAAGAATTCCCAATTTCTCTCTATACCTTTTTAAAGAGCTTAAAAAACAAATAATTTAGTATATCAAAGTGTTTTTGTACGGTTATTGATAACGGAGAAAATTTTAAAATAGTTAGGCCTAAATTTTAAATTTCCCTGTTATTCTTAGTAAAATGTTATAGTTTGCCTCTTTAGGGATATATTTTGATCGAACTAGGCAGATTAATTTTTTTTATACTAAGCTTTTAATATTTTACTAAAAGCCACACTTAATTAGTTTCCTTCTAGCAGCAAACCTAGGTACTCGTTAAACTAATTTTATTTAAATAGATTTAATTGAAAATCGATTCAGACAAATGGAAATTCGCTTAGTCGACAGGTTTGCTGTGGCAGGGCTATTTTAAGTATCTTTTATATTTATACGATCAGTTTTTAATTTTCAAACAATCATTTTTTACGTTTAAGAATTTGAGTTTTGAGTACAAACAAAGCAGAATGTACTGTAGTTACTTCAGTTGTGTTTTGTTTACACGTGAGTTGTTTTTTCTAACTTGACATATTAATGGACATGCACTTACCGGGGTAACTGTACGGGGGTCCTGTTTGCCTGTAAGTGGTGAAGGCCCTAACAAGATAACGATTCTGTGTCTGAGCAGCAAAATACAGGACAAAACGTCCCACCTGGTGTTTACGTAGAGCTGCCAACATTCCGATGTTGAACATTGCCATGAGTCAGATCCTAAACTCAATCTGGTGGGGCAACGCGAATTGAGAGGAATCGCGGCATTTTTGGCGCCTGTGTAATGAGTTAGTTCAGACTGTATGCAAAACAATAATCGGGCAAGTCATATATACAGTAACTCCATTGTATTTGTGATTTTTCGAATCGATTACGACGTGACATGGTAGTTCAAAATCCTCATGTCCAAGAACTCCTGTACCTGTTCCCCTTTCAGTTGTAATCAGGTGAACGGGAGTTTCCGACTTGCGCACAAACACCTGCCACGGCATTTTCAAACATCCGACTTGCGCTAGGCACTTATCTCGGCCCTCTAGAGGTACATCCGACTTGCGCTAGGCTTATCTCGGCCCTCTAGAGGTACATCCGACTTGCGCTAGGCTTATCTCGGCCCTCTAGAGGTACATCCGACTTGTGCTAGGCTTATCTCGGCCCTCTAGAGGTACATCCGACTTGCGCTAGGCTTATCTCGGCCCTCTAGAGGTACATCCGACTTGCGCTAGGCTTATCTCGGCCCTCTAGAGGTACATCCGACTTGCGCTAGGCTTATCTCGGCCCTCTAGAGGTACATCCGACTTGCGCTAGGCACTTATCTCGGCCCTCTAGAGGTACATCCGACTTGCGCTAGGCTTATCTCGGCCCTCTAGAGGTACATCCGACTTGCGCTAGGCTTATCTCGGCCCTCTAGAGGTACATCCGACTTGCGCTAGCCATCGACAAAATCAGTGAAGCGTTAAAGAAAATGTTAAATAACACGCTTGTTAGTGAAAATTTATAAACACTTTTTGGCTCTATAGCGGGAAAGGTTTTTGTGACCAAATATAATGTCAAGCCATGATGCATAGTAAGAATGTGTACGTAGGCTTCGGTATGTACATCGTTCAGCAATACACACTTCATTAATATACAATAATAAAATTAATTAACAATCGATTCCCTTATACCAAATATTATATAGACTATTATGTTAGCAATGGTGTTAGAACTTTCAAACATTAGTAAAAAAATATTTTAATATATTTTTGTTTTAGGGATGCCTACTTCATGTAAATAAATGATTTATAAATTACAAAATAAAAAAACTTAGCCTAAACTAAATCAAAAAATATTGTACAAGTATAAATCAGTACATGTATATACCTACATGTACCAACAGTTATTAATAATGCCTATGAAAAAGATACGTTTTAATATGATTAGTCAGTTTAGTAAAAAAAATGGACAATCATTAGGCCTGAGATGTACTTTACACTTGATTTAATAATGATAATAACTAAACTAAAACGAAAAAAATAATTACTGCCGTATACATGGCATTCAGATTTAGAACAGTAAAACAAACTAAGTCGAACATTTTCACTTAAAGTAAATACACATTTTAACAATAGTAAAGAAACCCAAAAAGTATTCTACAAACTTAAAATAGTATAGGTAAATACGCATATAGTAAACAAAAACATATACACAAAATATATGCAAACAAATGTAAATTTTCTGCATTATACTACTTCATAAGTAAGTTAAGCAAAAACAATTAAACAAAATTGGGATTCATTAGGCTGAATATACTATTCGCTACAGTACTGTGGAATCGCCTGATATATGTTTTGCATATGTTTGCACTGAAAATGTATCATTACTTTGTTACTTCGCAAAAAGAATGTTTAATATGCATAAGTTATCTTTACTATTTTTTATTTATTTTGTCAACCTAACCAAACAAACATTCCTATTTCGTACTATAACATGTTTCAATTTGCAACAACCAAAACTGTAAAATAAATCTGAATTTGAACTTTAAATTTAATGTCTAACCTAAAAATAATTTTAGTTTTGAAATAATCCTAACTGTAATAAAAATGTAGTGATGTGTCAAAACCAAATCTCAAAACCATCAAATCTTTGGGATGGTTTCGGTTTCAAGATTCGATGGATGAGTTTCGAGATTTAAAATTTTCAAAATTGAAGGGGCTAACACCAATAAAGTACCGTACGTAAATAATATTGTGTACTGCAAGAGATCATAAATAGTAAATACTTGTGCTAGAACATATTTATACTAATTTAATATGTATTAACCATTTTGATGTCTTAAAGTAGGTCTATAAACTAGTCATATGTTCACGTTAATATAATCAGGAGTCAAGTTCTTTCAGTTCGATTGCATGGTAAATATTTTATTAAAAGGTACCTTTTTTGCAACCTATGCAACTATAAAGTTTCTGGTTTCGTTTTGAGATTCAAAATTCCTAGTTTTGACTATCACTATAATAATGTACTAAAGAGGATTAACAGTTTTAAATATACTCACACAAAATACTGGATACTGGGTTGAATTAGAAAAAACACACAAATTAATTTAGAATAATAGAACTTACAGCCAAATTACTCATATTTATTTGTAAGGACAATTGTTTTATTTACCTACATATATATTCAGAATTTGAGTAAGAGATTTATCAATTTCACCAGGGTTTAAGCAGATTTCCTATAAGTATAAAGTCGTCACCACGATGGCTTATGGCCATTTTAACTTTTCGTTTCAAAGTCCCCATAGGCTAAAAACACAGTTCGTTAAAATGAATATGCATGCATATGTGTGAGTACGTTTTGCTAAATTTGCTTAGTGTACGTACTTAAAATTTTCAAAATTTACTTTAAGTATATGCCTAATCTTTATAACTAACTACTGTACTGTATTTTAAATAGAATCTTACAGCCTTTAAAAGGTTTTTATTGTACAATAATATCAGTCAAAATTAACGCCAACTCTGTTAAAAACCAAACTCCCAATTCAAAAATATCGTGTGAGGAACAGGGATATTATTCAAACACAACTGTTAGATGGTTCCTTGATTCTCATATTGTCAAAACCTCCCCTGCAACAGACCTGCAGCCTAGGTAACCATATCGTCCTTGTTAATAACGCTTGATAACGCAAGTCGGACGTTGGGGTGCGCTGAAATTTGTCGACCCCGGGGGCTGGTGACCCGGGATTATGTGCAAGGATACGCCTAGGTGAACGACTCCAGCTCCACTCAATTCTGTAGCAATTCTACAATTTGTTTCTAATAGTTGATTCCAATAAGTACGATTAATGACAATTGACTATCTTATTTAATTTTTTTTATCAACCATTGTAGCCTCTGGATTTCTTATATATAATTAATTGATAATGTAAGGTCTTACCTTAGCAATCCTTATTGCATGTATTATCCGATATTAATTTCGGATCCAAAGGTCAATCTTCAGTCGGAATATATCTCTTGTATCACATTCGAAAACCCATACGAAACTCATTGGGTGGATTCTACTATGAATATTCGGTCTACTTATACTCCGGCTGAAGATGGACCTTCGGGTCCGAAATTAATATCGGATAATACATACAATAAGAATTGCTAAGGTAAGACCTTACATTACAAATATTTTTCTTTTACTATCAAAATTTTAATACTGTATCGAAAATACCGAGATATTCGGATTGTTTTAAGATTTTATTAGCCGATTTAAGCCGGCAATAAATCAATGTCTTATTTAGTACAACCAGTTGAAAGTTGAAATTAATTCTTACTTCAGATTATTTGATGTTGTTACTCTAAGAACATTTCTTTTAGGATTTTACTTTTTCTACATGCTTGGGTTCGATCCCCTACGTGTGCAATCCTGACTAAGCGCAATAATATTTGACTAAGTTATTATGCGTTGAACATATATGCGTGTCTGTGCAACTGTGTGGCTATGTGGCATGCAGTAGCGAGACAGTTTGTAGTGGTGCAAGGAATGCAGCAATTACGAATTACTGCAGTTTGGCTCGGGTCCACTGTTCTAAACCACGCACAGATCCACGAATATGATGAGTGTAACATTGTCCTCGATATACAATCGCATTACCTCATATGACTTTGTGCCAGAGAATATGTGATTACCATTACTAACCAACAGAAATGTATGAGTGTTGTCAACATTTTGCAAAACAACAATTAATTTTCCCAGAAACAATTTAACTACCGCTTGAGGAAACTGTTGGACTATTGACATGACTATTTTCCGGACTAGTAAGGTATTTTTTTGAATTATTTAATTATTTTTTTGTAATGTAGCCTAACTATTCTGTGAAATTTAAACGCCTGATATGCCTATCAGGTATTTTATCATAAGGCGTAAATCTACAAACAATTGAACTTAAAACTCATCTTATTACACCTAAGTACTGTAACCACAAAAAGATAAACCTCTTCTTACTCTTAATTATCCCCCCTCCCTTACCGCCCTTACAGTTCACTCCTCAAACCAACAGACGCCCTTCAATCCATTTTATTCCGAACATTAAAAAGTTTCTATTCCGTGCCAATTACACGTGATAAGTTCATGTCGACACGTGAATTAGTAATAGGTTTATTATACGCTAAAGTAAATTTTTAGCCTCAATTTGCCGTGTGTACTATTATCTCAGAAATGCGACGGATTTTCCTAAAAAGGCTTTGTGGCTAACTTGCACAATATTTTTAGATATTATACTTATACAATACGGTTTCAAGCATAGTTTAACAGCTTCCAGTGAATGCCTATGGTGTTTAACAAACTTTCAACAATATTTGACTACTTTTGTTCGAACATTTATTCTTACGAACTTACAGAAATTGTAACAAAAAATAAGGAGTTTTGTATCCGTAGGCCTACGTGCGCCAGTCTCAATGCATATTAAAGGCACGATAGCTGATTGATGGGTTATATTATAGACTACAAACTCTTAAATTCACACAAATCAGCTAATCATTTTATGCATGGTAAACTTAGGTAGGTAGGTAGGTAAGTAATAAGGGTGAATCATTATTGTTCAAATAGTAGTTTGTCCCCGAAAGAACAAAGTAAGCTGAACAAAAGACTTGTTTATCCTCG